GTTGACTCATGATCATTTCCTTCGATGTCTCCCAAATACAGTGCTCCCTTCAGCAACACTCTTCTTATAATGTATGGACCTTTCCAATTAGGAGCAAATTTTCCTTTGGCTTCTTCATGATGCGGGAGAATACGTCTCAGAACGAGTTTCATTAATCAGTGTCAATCTAGACCCAATCTTTATCCTCAATCACGACTTCAACAATGATGCGAAGAGAGGGAATCTCAACTTCATTCCAATTTTTTATTTATTTTCTTACAAGCCTTGTCTTCAAAATATTCTGCTTCTTGATTCATTATTTTGAGGTCTGACATCGTTTTAGAATCTGGGCATGAAGTCCGCAAGCATGTCATGTTATTAAAAGATGCATTAACAAAACTGAAAAGTGAATCAGAAAAAGTGACAAAATTAAGAAAAGAGACATTCTTGGACAATGAAATATTAATTTCATTCAATTTTTTTAATTTTAAAGATTAGAAGGGTTTACATCGAAAAGTAAGACAATAAAGTAAAATATCCGGATCACACCCTGAGATAATCCGGACGCAGAAAGGAAAGCAAGACTGGCTACCGAAACTCCCGTATGATGGGAAACTTTCAGGCTTGGCGACCGTTTTTCGGCTTTTCTTCTGTCTCGGCAATGGCTGCAATGACTTTCAGTGCCGGATCAAATTCCTCATCTCTCCAATTTCTGTTCATCGAACCTCCTGAACCACTCTGAACGGCCTATAATGTGGCCTTAAAGACAACATGACTCAAGATTCGGCTTGTTTTAAAACTATTTTCGACCATCTCCCCAATTTTGATAGCCCCGGCGAACGGTCTACCCATAGCAGACATTATGTTCTCAAAGTAGCCCGCCTCTTGGGCCTGTAGGAAAACCGTAACCATTTCTGCTTCGTCCATTGGAGGATTTACCCTGGCGGCTTGCTCGTGGCATTTCACAGCATATTCACGAAAACTTTCCGCGATTTTCGTTTTCAAATTGGACAAAGCGTTCTCTTTTGAATTTTTTTCACTCTTGCTTTTTTCTTTTTCTTTTTTTGGTTGTTTTTCGCTCTTTGTTTTTCTTGTCACTCCTTTATTTCTTTTTCTTTCTTCTTTTTTTCCCACTCGATTTATTTAATGGCTATGATCGAATCCGATGTGGATTGCCTACGTATCATGACACCGCATGAATCAGATCTTGCGTAGTTCGGGGAGATCGGGAATAGACAAGCTCATTTTTCTTTTCTTTTATCTTTTTTTATAAAGACTTTTAAATATTTATTTTTTAAGTTTTTTTAATGCAATTTTGAATTTATTTTTTTATAAAGAAGGAATTCTAAAGAAGGAAGAAAATATTTTGGATTTTGATTTGATTTTTTTTTCGATTGAAAGACTTTGTTAAAGAAGGAAAATATTTTTGGATTTAGGATTTTTTTTTTTGGATTTTCTAAGAAAAGAATTCTAAAGATGGAATTATGGAAAGGAAAAATATTTTTGAATTTTTTGAAAATTGGGGCCGAAATCGATGAGGTTTGCCTACGTATCTCACATCCGGTGAGAATCAGACTCGCGTAGTTCGGTCAATTTTTCAGGACCGGGGGAAAATGTCTTTTTTTTTATTTTAAAAATTTGGACTCATTTTGAAATGACTTTCCTATTTCTTCTTTATTTTTTTTCAAATTTTTGGCAGAGTTTCATGAGTTGTTTTTTCAAGTACCAGGATTTTCAGGAACCGGGTCTATTTTCTTTCTCCTACCTCACTCTTTTTTTTTTTTTGGATTTTTTCCTACTCTATAAACCGGTCAACATGCAAGCCGAAACAAACATGCACAGGCAGAACGTAAAATGCATCAGGACAGTCTTTTATATTTGGGTACACCTGTCCTAGACGGATCCAACCCGTGTGTTGAGTCTCCAAAGTCAGATGCACGTGATGCAATCAAATATTCCTACTAGGGATCCGGCATGAGGCTATGTCGTTCTAAGTTTGAATCTTGGGTGTATTATTCTAGACCTGGCTTACCCGAGCGGATAACTCGAGCCGAGGGGGCAGCGTACCAGGAATACAAAAGCTTCACCGGCTTTGCAACTTGTCCGATCCTCGTTCTAAAATTAGTGTATGACTCTAACAGAAAAGAAGCCACGCAAAGTGGACACTTCCCAAAAGATTTAGAAGACTCAGAGAGAAGAAGGGTTTTCGTAACAGTTTATATACCGTTCACGGTAATATCAAAGCGGTAAAGAGCGGCAATTAGCACATTAGGCTCAAACACGTAAAAATCAGATAATAAACAAAGCCAAGTATAAAAGTCATCTAAGCTCGAATTTTGAATCCTAAACCAGAAGTTCTGGGTTCGTTTCTCCAGCAAAGTCGCCAAAGTTGTCACACCTTCTTTTTCCTGGGGGATAGGGGAGTTTTTCCAATTAAAGTGACATTAATCAAAATGAGATTATTTATTTAATTCAGAGTCGCCACTTGAAATATTTATTATGGTGTTCCAAGTCACCGGTTTATTTTAAAATCTCAAATCGAGAAAATTGACTCTATTTTACGGTCCGCGAACACAGAAGACCGGGTAAAATTTTTTTTAATCCGGGAGAAGGTGTGAGGCACTCCCGAATTTCGTGATTTTAGCACGGTCGCTTAACTATTAATAATTGGCCTAATTTTCTGATTTATTACACATTTAAAACATATTGTGCATTTTTTTTTTAACTTTTTAACAGCTTTTAATATTTATGAAATTTATTTGAACAAGCCGCGATGTTGCGCACTCGTTGTTTTCGTACACATTTCAAACCGCGTCACGTGAAACGTATCCGTGATTTGCAACATGTTTATTATTATTAATTGATTTGAAGTTGTAAGGTCGAGTCACGTGAAACGCGCACTAGAATTTGAGATTATATATCATGACTATGCCACGGGAGTCGTACCCATAGTCACGATAATTTAAAATTAATCGTGCCTAAAGCAAGCTACGATGTTCATGAATTAATTTTGCTAAACTACTTTGAGATTATTTGTGAAGCTATTGAATTGCAGAGGTTATTGTGAATGTCGTAGGTAATATGGAAGTCATTTGAAGTTATATTAATTTATAAAGGAGAGCTAGCTTACATGTTTATTGGGAACACGAAAATAAATTAATTATTCGTCTTGCCTTGGGTCCAAAACGTTGGTCATTTAACATTACTCACTAATGATGCCTAAAATTAATTTACAAATAAATCATATGACCCACTTAGTAATTAATTATAAACTAACCAAACTAAACTAAAACAGAATACTACCTAATAAACCTCAAACAACTAATCTGAGAGATTATGCAAACAATCAAACTTATGAGCATTTATATCTATGTAATCTACCAGACTCTATTCTAACAAATAAACATCCAACATGATAAATTCAAAGAGAAGTTTAAAGAGAGGATGAACCTTTATTGCTAAAATTTCCAGCAGGTACAGTGAAAGAGAAGATCCAAAACATCAAAAATCCAAAAACAATAACGCTTAACTAGAACCTCAAACGACGGAGCTCTAACGTGACTTCACTTCGGCTTTGGCTTTTGACGGTATTTTTTAGGGTTGATTGTGGGTACTTTGAAGCTAGATTTTGGGGTATTTTGGAGTCTTAAACAGGGTGATAAATTGCTGGATTTTGCGAAAGAAAGAGGAAGAAAGAATGACACGAGTAGAAATTCCCTTAGCGTAGAAAAAGAAAAAAAATTTCTCTCCATTCCCTCCTCTCTATTTTTTTCTCCTTCTTTCTCCCCTTTATTTTTTCCTTTCTCTCCTATTTATAGAAAAAATTTCAGAATTTTTCAGATTTTATTATTTTATTTTTTATTTTATTATTATTTTTTAATTAAAAAAAATTTTCACTTTTCATTTTTCTTCTTTTTATGAAAAAAAATAATTCCCCACCTTCCTTTACTTTTATTTTTTAATTTCTCATATTTTTACTTTTATTATACTTAAATTCCTACTTTTTTTTTAAAATTTCCACTTACTTTTATTTATTTTTTTAAATTTTAATCTACCTTTACTTTTATTTTTTTAATTCCAACTTTCTTTTACTTTTTATTTTTTAAATTTTTACATTCTTTTACTTTTTTTTAAAAAAAAAATTTCACTTTCTTTTACTTTTTTATTAAACAATTTCCACCTACTTTCACTTTTACTTTTTAATTATATATTTCTACTTTTCCTATTTTTTTATTCCCATCCGATTTTTTTAATTTTTTTTTTGGTTTTTTAATTTATTTTATTTTAAAATAAAGATAAATATAAAAATAAAAATTATACTAATAGTAATAATTGATATTTTAAATTATTATTAATTTTACCCTATATATAAAAAAAGTATAACAAAGCTAAAATATACATATTAAATTTCTGAAAATATTTGCATAGTAGAAAATGATAAAAATATAAATATAGTCAAAAATTATGTGTTTTGAGAGCTAGAAGGAAGGGTTCAGACACAAGGTAGAAGTAACGTCATTCATATTATTCTCCCTAGATCCACTTGTGAGATTTTATTGGATTATTGTTGTTATTGTTATATTGCAGATATTATAAATATTATTTTTGTATCAAATTATTAAAATTAACTTTGCTCACAAAAGGTAGTAAATTACGTACTGAGCATGTAATGCAGGAATTTTTGTTATATTGCCAATTATATATAATTTAATTCTTCATTGGAGACAACAATAAAAGAGAAAGGCAAAAGGTCCAAATTTGCTCATAAATATTTCGTTTAACTTTGTTCTCGATTAGGAGTCAACAATAACAATATCTTTTCTTTTTAGTATGTACAAATACAAATAAGTATCATATTTTTATATCTAAGACTTATTTTAAATATAATTTTAAAAATTATTTAATTTTTTCTTGAATTTTGTGCTTATTAAAACGGTGCAGAGTATCACCTAACAAGGAAAAAAGCCGCTTACCGAATTTAAACATGCGCCAGCTTAGCCAGCATGGGTAGAAGTCAGACAAAAGACACTGTCCCACGTTTCTTTCTTACTTGGCATCACTCTCCCCACTCTCTCTTTTTCTCTGTCTCTCTCCATAATCCTAAATAAAATTCCCAATTTTTGTAAAAACCCAATCATTTCTCTTCACCTCGAGATTCTCGCCGCTAAACAACTTCCAATTCCCACCGCCGTCGCCGGAAACCGTCCGAATCCGACCTTAAAATAGAATCTCCGGCAGATACCTAAAAAATTATATAGAGAAGATCGCTGTCGAAATGAGTAACGGAGAGCTACTTCAAATCGAACCTATTGAGCTTCAGTTTCCCTGTAAAGTCACTCTATTAGAAACTTCTAGAACATTTTCTACCTTGTTTGAACTTGTTAGATCCGTCTGTTGTTCTCTTGTTTTGATTTTGTTTTTTTCTTCTTATGTTGATTAGTCGAATTGAAGAAGCAGATCGCATGCTCCTTGCAATTGACCAACAAATCCGATAACTATGTTGCCTTCAAGGTATCATGCAAATTTACTGTACTTATTTTTTTTTTTATTTTGTTGTGATTACATTTTGNTTACATTTTCTTTTTGGAATTTAGGTGAAGACGACGAATCCAAAGAAGTACTGTGTAAGGCCTAACACTGGAATTGTGATGCCTCACTCTACCTGTGATGTCACAGGTCTCTCTCTCTCTCTCTCTCTCACACACACACACACACACAGAGTTCTCCTTATACGTATGCCGCTGCATGTTCTTTTGAGTTTGCTAAATATCTTTTTACTAGTAATTGGTGTTGTAATTATTAGTAGTTTGGGATTAAGATGTAGTAATAGTTGATATTGATGTTATTTTTTTTGGTAATTGTTTATACAATTTATGGGTTCAGTTACAATGCAAGCACAAAAAGAGGCACCACCAGACATGCAATGCAAGGATAAGTTCCTGCTTCAAAGTGTCGTGGTAGGCCCTGGAACTACGCCTAAGGATATTACTCCAGAAATGGTAAAGATTATTAAAGTTTTGTTGTTGTGGTTGTTATTGTTGTTTGTAGTGTTAATTGATTTTGAAATATTTGTTCTTATTATTATTTCTGTTCTGCTAATTGTTAATTGACTAGAAGTAGCATGGTTTATCCGCGGGTATTTTGGTTTTTTAGTTCAACAAGGAGTCAGGGAATCATGTTGACGAGTGCAAGTTGAGAGTAGCTTGTGTTCCACCTCAACCACCATCACCTGTGCGGGAGGGTTCTGAGGAAGGTTCCTCACCTAGAGCTTCTATATCTGAAAATGGAGCTGAGTTCCACAATGTGAGTTTTTAGGTGTCTTGCCCTTATGAATTTGAAGATTAAAGATTTCTTTTTTGGGTAAAAAGCTAGCAGGATTCAAATGGAAAATGAGATATCCCGTTGTTATGCAGGCTTCAAGGACATATGCTGAGCCACAGGACAACTCATCAGAGGTAGTTTTCATTTTCC